ATTCTCAACAAAAATTCTCTCTTCCTTCAACCGTCGCTCACGGTCCTATCCCAGGTAAAAGGATTCAGTTCCTTGACCTAAATCAAGGACCACCGGCGTATGTCCGCGTCAGATAAAGGGATCGCTCCGATTCTCCTTGATCTGTACCGCTGACTTGCGAGTACGTCGGAGCTTGCGAAAGCAAGCGCCAAGTTGCGCTCCTCCTCCAGGACGTAACATTGTACTTCGTGTGCGTACTCTTATCTCATATATAGGTTGTCCAAGAGTACGCATTTGCAACATTTCACATTGTTAATTATTTGAAGCACTATTAATTCAACTATATCAATTTCAATTTTTAGTAGTGTCACTACACAGCAGATAACACTTCATATTCAGTGTTAGTTTGAAGTAAGTATGTCGTATCGTTACAGTGTACAATTAATTAAAATGTAAAAAATGCGTACTATTATCCGCATTTCCTCTATATAGAAAATAATGATTGCAGAAAGACCTACCTGTAATAAGTATCCATGTATTATATCTTGCATCCTTCTGCATTGGGAATTTGAATAATCGTTTTCCAGTCGATTTTCCATTCTGACAATCTTTATACATGCACCTGTTATAAAAGCTATCTTCTGGAGTCAACATAGTCTTTATATTTTTATTTGCAGTGCAGTGCAAGAAATAATTTTAGATATGTGAGAAAAAATATGTAACAAATAAAAAACTAAAAATGACAGAATAAAGAGAAAAATGAAAAAAGGAAAAAAAAAGCAAGGTAAATATATAGAAAAGGGTACATTTCACTGATTTTTTTCATTTTGAAATATGTTATAAAGGATGAAATTCTGAGTAACTTTTCTTAATACAATTATATGGAGGTCGCTTATAGTTTTTGAGATATTTGATTTTAAAGTTTTATAATTGTATGTTGAAGTATATTTGAAGTAGACAAGCAGTTTTCGTTTACTTTAAATATAGGAAACAGTACATATAAACGAGAGAGGGGCTCCGCCCGATATTTCAAATTCGATAATCTTATTTATAATTCTATTGAATAATTATTTTGCTCATCATATCTTGACTGTTATACTGAAAGAAAACTGATAAAGATCTTAGTTCATAACTATTATATAAAACATGTGTTATATAACAGTTATATTGTTAAGTAGGAAATTACAACTAACATACATGTTACATGTAATATTAGGCCTGTTCGTTTTGTCTGCATTGCTGAACTGATGCATTAAGTTAAAGTGAGACAAACGTAGGTTTTCTCACTTCAACTTGTTGTACCAGTTCAGCAGTGCAAACAAAACGAACAGGCCTATTGTGTGTATTTGCTGGGATAATTCCTCCTGATGATTTATACAGGGTGGGCCATTTTAATCCGTCCACGGGAATATCTCCTCAGGTAGGGGCGATAGCGAAAAATGCCTCAGACAAAAGTTATAGGATAAGCAGGGGGACACCTAGCGGTGACCTTGACTTTGACCTTGAGGTGAAAGGTCAAAGTCATTTTGAGGCCAAAATGATTTTTTAAAATAGAAACTCCTATTTCAGACTACGGAAATGGAAAGTACGAAAAATTTCACGTTCAAATAGGTAACTCATGATTGTGGTCAAAATGACCTTTAGGGGTTGTTTCAAGGACAAACGCGTAATATTAATCAATTCACTCAAGTAACTGGTAAGCTAAGCGAGATAGTGAAAAATGTTTCAGACAAATGTAGTATTTGGAAGTGGACGTCAGGTCACGACCTTGAACTTAACTTTGAGGTAATTTTAAGGTCAAACTGAATTTTTAATTGAAATTAGTTAACAAGATTATCAATGACTTGACTCCTACTTTTAGCGTTATCCAGGAACAACGACGTGGACGTAGTAGGTATGTTCCCTTTGGGGTGCTTGATTCGCGTGAGTCCCCTTGCCTCTCACGGTTCGGGGTGCTTGATTCACGTGAGTCCTCTTGCCTCTTACGGTTCGGGGTGCTTGATTCACGTGAGTCCCCTTACCTCTCACGGTTCGGAGTGCTTGATTCACGTGAGTGCCCTTGCCTCTCACTTTTCACGGAACATTTTAGAGCAGATTCTCAAAAACGTTCCCGTTTTGCTGAATACATAATTCGATTCTCCTTTGAAAATTGTCAATAGTACTTAAAAGTACATCACGCACAATACGTTGTCAAGCACCTCTGATTATCTCCATTATGTTATCCCTAGTGGTTGGTTCTTTAGTAAAAACAATGTCTTTAAATAACCCCATAAATAAAAGTCTGGAGGTGTCAAGTCTGGGGATCTTGCAGATCATGCTACAGGTCCACGTGGTCCAATCCATCTATCACAGTAACGCTCATTCAAATGTGCGCAAACTGAATTGTAGTTATGCGGTGGAGCTCCATCCAACTGAACCCACATTCTTGTTCTTGTAACAAGATCGACATCCTCCAACAAAACTGGAAATTCATTCCCAAGGAAAACAAGAAAGTTGTTGCCGTTGACATTTTCCTAAAAAAAATAAGGACCAATCAAATAGCTATTCAGGATGCCGCACCACACATTGATATTCCAACGATGTTGGTGATCGACCCCCCGCTGCCAACGGGGATTCACATCGGACCAGTAATGGCTATTGTGTCTGTTGAGCTCGCCAGTGTTTTTGAATGTAGCTTCATCTGAAAACGTAATGTACTGAAAAAAATTTGGGTTTTGTAAAATCATCATTCGAACCCAATGGCAAAACCGCATGTGATTCCTTAAATCATTTGGCATAAGCGCTTGCGTTAAAGTTATATGATAAGGATGAAAGTTTAGATTATGTAATATTCTTAGTGCGGTACGTCTAGGAATGCCACTTTGCCTTTCAATCTGACGACTACTGATCTGATGATTCAAGTGAACCATAGCCAAAACTATCACCACACGCACGTCGTTCTCGTTCCGGTTTTGCTTTTGTCGATGTCGCACTAAGTGACCTTGTTGAGCTCTTAAGTGAATGTCTCTAATCGTGCTGTGGCTTGGATATCGTCCTTCTGGATATCGTTCTCGATAAAGAGTAGCTGCTTGACGGTAATTGCCTTGATATTCATCAAGAATTAACAACATGGCAACTTTTTCCTCTGGCGGATAATCAGGCGGATAATAAAAGGGTTAAATGAATAAAAATGGAAAAGAGTATAAAAAAGGTATAAAAAAGGAAAAAAGGATAACTAAGCAAAAAACAGGTTTTTATAATTAAAGTAAATACTTTTCAGAAATCCGAGTCCAAATAAGAGGGTCAAATAACAATATTGAAAAAATCAAGTCGTCTTTATTTATTTTTTTACACTTTAATTGTTTGACACTTTAACTTGTTTTTCCTTTTGTGAATCAAGCACCCCGAACCGTGAGAGGCAAGGGGACTCACGCGAATCAAGCACCCCAAAGGGAACATACCCCCTACTACGTTCACGTCGTTGTTCCTGGATAACGCTAAAAGTAGGAGTCAAGTTATTAATAATCTTGTTAACTAATTTCAATTAAAAATTCACTTTGACTTTGAAATTACCTCAAAGTTAAGTTCAAGGTCGTGACCTGACGTCCACTTCCAAATACTATATTTGTCTGAAACATTTTTCACTATCTCGCTTAGCTTACCTGTTCGGGGTCATAGTGTGCACAACGGTTTTCTAGAAGAATCTAAATATTCTTCTAGCTTCGACCTCACGAAGCTTGCGCGTGATCCATGCGTGCTCGGCTAGCGGAGATCTCGTCGCCGAACGTTGGGCCACGGGATCCCCGGCGAGGAACGATCAAAACAATGTTTATTCCCGTGTATTCGCCGTGTATGTCGGGCAGACCCCGAGCATGCGATCACGGTGTGTTACGGCCAACGGATTGCAGCCAATCCTTATCTGCCAGCTCGAGCTGAAAAAGGATATAATTGAGACTGAAATTTCATCACTCTCTCTGCGCATTTGGGCTTTCTACCGAGCGGTGTTTTATTTTCGATTGCAACAAGCGAACGCGATCTTCACTCGTCCTCTGTTCGCACGATCGGTGCTTACTTCGTCGTGGCTACATCGTTGCACTCGGTTACGATTTCGTAAAGTCGCTCTCTGTTCTTCGCGCCTGGGACGCACGTCACTTTCCGACGCTCGATCGTACCCACCGATACCACAAGCACTCAACGCGTTTAAAGTGCGTTACTTTGCGTGGCTAGCATTGCCCGATTAGCCATCATATCTATCTTTCGTGCGCCGTCAGCGAACGTCGCGTCCGCGAGCGCCGCTTGATCGCTCGATTGTTCGCCGCCGTGTACGGCTATTTCGTTGTACAATAGAATAAACTTATTTTGTGTGTCGTCATACTCGCTCGGCTTCTCTGCACTCCTATTCCTATAGCGATTCAGATCACGTACTGGCGCCTTTCGCGCACAGCGTTGTGCGATTCCGCGCGAACGCCATCGGCTGAACCCGACGGGAACATTACTAGTTACTTGAGTGAATTGATTAATATTACGCGTTTGTCCTTGAAACAACCCCTAAAGGTCATTTTGACCACAGTCATGAGTTACCTATTTGGACGTGAAATTTTTCGTACTTTCCATTTCCGTAGTCTGAAATAGGAGTTTCTATTTTAAAAAATCAGTTTGGCTTCAAAATGACTTTGACCTTTCACATAAAGGTCAAAGTCAAGGTCACCGCTAGGTGTCCCCCTGCTTATCCTATAACTTTTGTCTGAGGCATTTTTCGCTATCGTCCCTACCTGAGGAGATATTCCCATGGACGGATAAAAATAGCCCACCCTGTATATAATTTTTACTATATTCTGTGTAGTAGCTCAGATATGAACCAAACTATCATAGACACACCTCGTTACCGAGCGACATCGACGTAGTTGACATCTATTTTCTCAGGGGGCGCGTCGAATTCATAAAAATTTCTGAACCTTCGCTGAAGGCTCTCAGGTTTCTCTCTGGTTATATTCAAAGATTTTAAAGTTAGGTTCTAGATTAAATTGCGTTGAGTACGTTCGAGAGAGACGTTATAACGTGTTATTCTATTTTTGTCGTTTGTTAGATATATAGCAAGGATAGAATAATGCGTTAGTATAGCGTGCCCCTCATTATCTTTATTTATTGCGTCATATTGCAATAGTGTATACAAGACATCCAGTGTTTTGTTGCATTTTCAGTAACCTACAAATTGTAAAAGTGCTGTGATCTTGCAGAATGAATTTTATGACTTTATCTATATAAATGTTTATCTTTATTATTGCACAAAATTGATCAAGTGAAACTTAGGTATTTCATTTTAAATTTTATTATAAGAATATTATGTATAAGAATAAAATTAACTTTTTGATTCAGTAAATATTGATTTTGATAATATAACATTTATTTTGAAGAATCTTTCATAAATATAAGATGAATTATTTTATATGCAGGGTATTTGATGTAATATATATATATATATATATATGTACGCACACATATGTGCAGATAGAACTTGTTACATTAAGCAATTGAAAAGAAATCCTTCACTATTTTGCAATCAACCATAATAATTATTCAGATTAATAATTAAAGAAAATCAGTGGATGAATACCATAGATATGAGTAATGTCATAGATATGAGAATGTCATGGTAATTCAGAATCTGGAGTATAGTCTACAAAAATATTTGTTGGATTTGTGTTTTCTGGTCTTGCAAAAACAAATATAAACTTATAGTCGAAGATCACATAGGTGATATTAGATCATGCTGTTTACTGCAACATTACTTTTGCTATTAGTTGATATTTATTGTTGCTGGGAGATAATAAACATGCTTAAAATATGTTTTTCTAAACCATCCTACAGAGCTTGCTTATATTAGATTGTATTATGCATATTAATGATAAAATTGTTTTTAGTTAACATTTCAACTTTATCATGATTATTTGCAAAATGGTAGGAGACTTCATTTATATTAATTAATGAATCTTATATGTGTATGAATAGATATATATGTTGCATCAGATATTCTATATAATATTTGAATAATCTATCATTTGTTGTAATTAATGCATATAATTTTTAGAGGATATTTATCATAATTCTTGGATATTAAAAATAACAAAAAGATAACAAAAAGACTGATATATCTCTAAAGGAGTTAATATGGAAATGGAAGTAAAGATTCGATCATTTGTATTCTTTGACTTGGAGACAACTGGTATATTTGAAGGAACTGTTGCACCTAAAATTACAGAAATGGCTTTGGTTGCTGTTGCCAGAGAGTCAATACGTCATAACGAACAGAATTCCTTGCCAAGGATCTTACATAAATTAATACTTCCAATTAATCCACAGAAAACTATACCAACGAGAATACAATATATGACAAGTGAGTTCCTGCTACATACATGTATACCTATACTTATATATATATATATATATATATATATGAAATCAGTAGAGAATTGATATATTATATGTTTATTTGTTTACACAGAACTATATAATGATGATATGGAGCTACTGAAGCCTTTTGAATTTGAAATTTATGAATTAATAGTGGCCTTTCTGAATCGTCTTAGACCACCAATTTGTTTTGTAGCACATAATGGTGATAAATTTGATTTTCCAGTACTTTTATCAGAGTTAAAATGTATAAATAAGGTAATTAATATTCAATAACTATGATATAATATTTTTTGTTATTTTTTCATTAAGTAATGTTTAGTTTTCTTCTATCAAAGGTTCTTGATGACACAATTTTATGTATCGATACAATTAAGATGTTCAAGGACTACTTCAATAGAGAAATAGTAAACAATACTAAGTCAAATGTATATGAGAGAGAAATTGATACATTGCTTGATGATGGATATGATGAGTCTTTATATGCAGTATTAGACTCTGTGATGATGGAGAAAAAGACTGTAAACCGAAATGTAGCTACAACATCTTTGCAAAGGCTTCCTTATGAAGAAAGATTTATTAAAGTTGTTAACAGTAAACATGATGTAAGTGAGGAGCATAACATTGTCGATAATAGTGTGCAAAACTGCAAAAAACAAGAAAATGAGAAAACACCGACAAGTCAGATAACGAAAATATCGCAAGATCGTCCATTCAAAAAGAATAATTATAGAAGGAGATTAAACTTTGAATGCAAAAGGAATCCCCTCAATTTCAAACTTGCCAGTATTTATGAACATATGTTCAACTCAAGTTTTGAAGATGCACATTCTGCTGAAGCCGATTGTCTTGCGATGCTCCGTTGCGTAACTCAGATCGCTGATTACTTTCTTACGTGGTCAGATAATAATGCAACTCCATTCACCCACTGAAAACACATAGCAAACTTTTTAATCAATTATAGACAAATCACAAAAATGTCAAAAGATAGATAATGCAGTATAATTGTTATTTTTGTATCTATTTAAGATACAAAATGCATGAAATTGCAAGTGTTGTTAACTGATTATAGATGTGAGTTATGTATTTTAACAATATTTTTATGATCCGTATAACTTAGTTAAATTTTAGTTTAACATAGTTAGAAAATATTTGAATTTTATTTTGTTGATTAAGATACTTTTATATAGTAAAAGTAAAATAAATGAACACTTACTAATTAAAATGTAGCATCTATCTGTTTTTTAACATGACATTCTAAGTCAGAAGTCAAAGAATTTATAAATAAATATATATGCATATATATTTTTTATGGATGTAATGTATGTATATTTGAATATCTATTTCTGCAGTGTCCACAATTACAGTGTCCAAATTTTAAAATTTATAAACGTTTTAAGTGATATGCAATAAATATATAAGTGTATATTTTGAAACAACTTTGACCAATATTTTATGCTTCTTTTTCAATGCTTGAAAAATGAAATTAATATTTCATTACAATAAGATTTTAAAGCTTTAATATATAAAAATTCCAGAACTTATATAATTAAAAGTTGAAGAAGTAGACATAAATTCATTTTTTTTAATTAATTCATTTTTTTCCTCCAAAATAATTTATATCTCCACCACTTACCAGTTTCTAGCTGTGATTTTAGTTCTTGTTCTAGATCTGATTCTGATTTTGATTCATATGTTGGATACGGGCGCGCTATTTTATCCAATTCAGCCGAATTTACTGTAACAAAAATTCAAGTAGAATTTGGAATGTTATATCTAGGCTAGAAATTTTTTTTATGTAACTAATACCATCTGGATGTGTTTGCAAACAGTAAGGTTGTTCGTAATTTTTAATATAAATCTCTGACCGTATTCGTTTCATTCAATGGAAGAATACTTCTATTAGAAAACAAATCTTTCTATTGAACAAAACAAATACGTTCCAAACTCTTACAAAAAATTATAAAGAACCTTTCTGTGATGAGAACTGTTCCATGACCGTACGTTGTTTTACTTTTTCTGCACGAAATATCATAGATACTTACAAGTGTATCTAGCTATTATATATAAATCGTTCGGTTGCTCTATTATCTGCTTCCTGATGTCTTTTATGATATTGTACAATCTACGTTTCATATTCATCATTTCATCTTTTTCTATATTTTCCAGTAAATTTATATTTTTGACCCAATAATGTTTTATACAACCGATCTCGAAAGCTTTATGAAGGTTTTCTAACATCTGCAAATATTATTGTTTCATTATTCAGTAAAAGAGGGCCCTTCTTCAATGTTAAAAACATTACCGTGAACAACAAAGAAGTATGCGATTCTCTGGTTTCAAATCTTTCTAAATGGTGGAAACATAATGTTTCAATGTAATAGCTGGCAATACTTTTCCAATTCTGAGTTTCTCTGAATTTCTACGAACGTAACTACTATTAGTACGAAATAAAATAAGCTTCAAATTAATCGATGTTTATGATTTCGTAATATATTGTTATACCTTTAACTGGCGTATTATGGGTTTAACTTGTCTATATTTCTCCGTCTGGAGCATATCTTTTTCAAAGTCATAAAAACTTAATCGCCAATAACGATTTGGTTTTGATTTTGCATGGGAGGGGATGTTTTTACTGCTTAACGGTTTAGGAACTAGGTAGACATCTTTATCGCTATTCTACGAAACAATGGCAATGAGTATGCGTAAATAAAATTTCTTTTATATAACTGTGTACTATGTTCAATATTATGATACGCACTTGTAGCGCACGATGTTTAGAGTATGGTGGTGGAAGATCACGACTTGAAAATGCTAAGACAGGAACCAAATCGATATTAATTAGATATTTTCCAGAATGGAATGATAACGTAAATGCTGGGCCCGATTTTCTTACTCTTATCTAAAAAATGTTTAGAGATAAATAGAAATTTATGTATTTTTGTTTCAATTTTGAATGATATATATTGGATCTGGGAAAAAGTTCGTGGCGTTTTTTTAGTAAAATTCAACTGGTTTTCTTATAGTGTGAAAATGAATTTATTTAAACGAAATATGCTCCATTATTATCGACAATGTTTCGCCATTTTTCGGGTAGAGTCATGATGCCATCGGTGAAGAACTTCTGTGATTTCTGGTTGAAAAACTGAATCAAGTGGTTTTCACAGGCTTCTTTTGAAACCAGCTTAATTCCATTGAGAGAGTTCTGCACAGATCGGAACAAGTTATAGTCAGAGGGTGCTATGTCTGGACTATACGGTGGATGCATCAAAACTTCCCAACCAAGCTCTTGCAATTTTTGACGGGTCGTCAAAGAAGTGTGTGGTCTGGCGTTGTCATGATGGAAGACAACACCTTTCCTATTATTCAATTCGGGCCGTTTTCTTTCAATTGCCTGGCGTAATCTCTCTAGTTGTCCACAGTAGAGTTGAGAATCAATGGTCTGATCAACTGGAAGTAGCTCATGATGGACGATTCCCTTCCAGTCCCACCACACACAGCATTACCTTTTTCGGCGTCAATCTTGGCTTCGCGAACGCTTGTGACGGCTCACCATCCCTTATCCACAATCTTTTACGCTTCCGATTGTCGTACGTGATCCATTTTTCATCACCAGTTATGACACGTTTCAGAAATGGTTCGATTTCATTGCGTTTCAGCTGCGCATCGCAGATGTTAATTCGGTCTATCATGTTTTTCGCGCTCAACTCACGAGGAACCCATACATCGAGCTTCTTTTTGTAGCCAGCTTTGTATAAATGGTTCAAAACAGTTTTGTGGTCAATGCCTAGCTCCAATATCGACACTGCTGATATGCTTATCTTGCTGGACTTTTTCAAGAATTTCATCAGCTTTTTCAGTGATTGGACGACCAGAGCGTGACTCATCTTTCACATCAAAATTATCAGAACGAAAGCGAGCGAACCATTTCCGCGCAGCAGATTTTGATAAAGTACCTTTACTGTACACAGCACAAATTTTTTCACAAGCCTGCGCAGCGTTCTTCTCTTTGTCGTAATAATATTACAAAATATAGCGCAATTTTTCATTACTTTTCTCCATTTTCAAATGCAAACAATTTCCCAACCACTGCACCAATTTCGATGTTTATACACTCAAAGTAGCGCTCGAAGTGTTACCTTTCCAACGAGCGTTTAGTGGTGTCGCTGCGATCTGTTTTTCCTGAGTTATTTGCAATTGACGCCATCTATCGAGAAAAGCGCCACGAACTTTTTCCCAGACCCAATATTTTTACCAAACATCTATTATGGTACATTATACTAACAATATAATTATTAATTTTGATGTCATTATTTTCATTGGTGGTAGAAGCTACTTTATTCAAGATACCTTCAATCCATCTACGAAATTTCTCTTGGTCCAGGTACTGATTCTTATCAATAAAAGACTTCATAACACTAAAGAAAAAGTAAATAATTTTTTTCTCATTTTCTAGACTTAGAGAATAATTTTGTATTATAATACAAGTTATACCTGCATGCTTTTGCATCCATTTTTAAATTATTATTTTCGTAAGTTTTTGTGCGTATTTTAATATAACCTGATAAATCTGTACTAAGCTGCAATAATATGTAACTACTAATTATTGATTAAAAACACAGCATTTCTATCAGAAAATTCCCATTAGAAGTGCATTGCTATTACCATCATATCATCTTTTTTTATGGGTAATTGGATTATTAAATTTAAATCAAACTCATCAGGAAATCCAATCTTCGTCTTTTTATAAAAACTACCAGTATATGCAATTCTTTTATATGTCATGTTAAATAATGGGTTTTGCTCTTTCATCATTTCTATTAACTTTTCAATTATCTGCAATATATATAATGATTATACGAGTGCACATATGGGCTGCGTTTCGATATTCACTGCCAGTATTGAAAATACATAGCTTGTGTCACGTATACTATAGATTTTCAGTGCTGGTAATAAATATCGGAACGCACCCATGAGCTTCTTAATGAAATAAAAATTTGTACAATATAAATACCTTGCCTAAGCGTTCGTTTGTATCTTTTACATCCTTAATTTCCAAAGTTATAATTTGTTTGTTTATCTTCTTGAATATCTCATCGTTAACAAGATATCTTCTAATTTTCTCTCTATCGTTTGAGTCCATACTATTAAACTTTCAAAATATTTCGAATCTTTATACGTTATTTATATATTATTGCTACATTTAAGATAATATGAAGTGTATCAGTGGGTTTGTTCTTTATAGCTGCACTGCTGAACTAATGCAATAAGAAAGAGTGCAAAAAAATATAGTTGTCTCATTTTAATTTATTGCATTAATTCAACAGTGCTATTGAGGAACAGACCAGTATTACCTGATGCAACTCCGTTCCGTCACGAAATGAAAAGCATTTGAATTAATTACAACTCTCAAAGAATATGTATTTTCTACATATTATAAAAAATATATTATATAGCGTAATTACAAAATAAGTAATAATAAAATACACGAGCTGCATTGCACCATGTCTTTGCTTCAACAGTGTTTTTTCCCATCAGGAAGCAATGTTTAATCAAAACACGAAATTCACTTTTTTCCATAGTAAAGATAAATTCAGAGGTAACGTCACTTCGAAAGCTATAACTTGTACACGAGTCAACGAAATATCATGAAATTTTTACAGCATCTAAGTTAAGGTTGGTACTCTATAGGAAATATAAGGATTTTTAGTTTGTGGCGCCATTTATATGTCAGGCCAAAGACTTTTCAGCCCATGTAATATAGAATTCTGGATTAAATAGTCGGTATTTTCTTGTAAAAAAACTCCATTATTTCAACTTTAAATTAAGATTGAAAAGTTAATTTTGCAAAAAAAATATATGTATATACTGTTTTACACAAATAATTTTTACCTTTAATAAGATATTAAATCTTATTTAATCTTAATGGAATTATTTTTTTTTATGTAACTTTTAATAATTTTATAGGCTATAAATTTAGTTACACTTAGTTGACTTCAAGTTTACTTTGAAAAACAATTAATTTACTCAGCTCTGATATATATATATATATATATATATATACACATATATATACATATGTATGCAAATACGCTATTTTTAGGTTTAAAAAAAAAAAGATGATATAATAAAAAATTTGGATTTTCATTTAAGAAAATTGATAATCAGTAAATGTCTTGAAAATGGAGCCATCTATAAACAAAATGCTATCGCTGTCCTATGTCCCCCTTCAAGCTAAACAACTTTTGTTTTAAGCATTTTTCGATTTAACGCAGTATTTCTGAGATATTTGAGTGGGTCCTTTAAATTAGGACACCCTATATGCTTGTTTATAGAAATGGCACGATATCATTGTACTTACCAAATAGATAAGCCTAAGAATTGACTGTAAATACGTATTATTAATGAACGAATATATGCTTCGCGTCCAAACCGGAAGTGGGAACGTTATACTTTTATCTATTAATATCGACTAAGAAGTTGCAATGCAGATAGATACATGAAACTGGTTCGCACTAGACTGCATTCTACAGCGCGTTTGGCTTCTTTTATAAATGTCGTTAATCAATGTTGTTAATCTCATTATCGACAACGGACATTGAAATTTAGATAACATTAATAAATGATATAACGTTAATACACATAGATACTCGTATACGACACACACATACATGTATAAAATACTGTGTGCGCGCACGTACGTATAAACATATACTTACACACGGTCAGGAAAGTTTTATAAAAATTAAATCATTACTTTATATTTTTCTATTTATTTATCAATCATTTTTCTCTTTATTTCTCTGTTTATTGCCGATATTTTTACGTGTGTTTATTTCTGTTCTTTAAATTATTACTATCATTTCTTCTTGCGATAAAATATTTTTATCGTTAGGACAATGTTTCTAAATTTATCACTTCAACGAAGTCAGAGCCGTTTCTGTGAAATTTTACTTAGAAGTGTTTAGAATTTTTTCCAGAACAGTTATCAGTTTTCTACAGACTGTTTTGCTGACATTAGCTTGTCCTTCTAAAGCCTCTATTAGCCCGTACATTTTCTCTGCTTCCTTAGCTAATTGTATCAACACCGGCGCGATATTTTGCGAGTTTTCCTTCTCCAGTCTTGGGATTTTCTCCTCTCTTTCTGATTTCTAGTAAAATTATCTATTAGTCACATCAGCATTTCTATAAATAAAGGTAATACCCCATGCTTCATCGCATGTATCGCTTGTTTCGTGTTTGTAGCACATGTGCTCGCAGTGACCTTGGGTTGCTTCAGATATATGCTTCAGATATGTCAGATATGCCCGAGATAGTCGCACGCATTCGGAAAACCTTCGAGCACGTAGTGCGGCGTGCAAGATAAATACGCCTGCGTGATATTGCTGACGGTGGGTATCTTGGCCAGACCTTTCGCTAGTTTGACAACAAGTTGCTTTGAGCACGCATTTCCTATGCGTTCAAAGGGCTTCAGAGTTTCCTGGCGTACCCAGGGATTTTCATTTTTCAACAACCGACTGAACAGTTTCGTTAAAGCGGACACATCTGAATCCTCGCAACGAGCGAGATTCTCGACACTCCGTCGCAAATACTGGCAGAGTTTGATTTTCACTCGAGGTAGCATGCAAGTGCACGCGACCGCAATGGACATCAGGACCTAAAATAGCACAAGCAACGCAGTAGATACAAGCATCTAACTAACAAAAGCTAATGTTTCTGACACCATTTATCTGATTTCATAAAATTGCCGAATCAAGCACGTCGTCCCGAAGATTATCGAAGCAAATGCCGTCGAACAGGGTAACCACAAAATCGGACAATAGGTCGAGCTGCCTGCCTTCGCATTCGGTAATCGCGTCTGCCACAAAACTCCACATTTTAGTCATGGCGTCATTGATATCTCTATTATCGCTATATCGATCGCTGATAGACGCTACATCTATCATATACAGAGAAACTTGCTCAAAACTTTTTTTTTTTAAGTTTATATAATACGGTAATTTTTGAGATTTTTATATAAGACATCGTCTCTCTTTCTTTCTCGCTCGCTCACAAGATATTTCCAATTGCGTATGGTAGGATGTTCCTGCAGGTCCGAAAAGGCCTTTGGTAGGTCGTCAAATTTATACATTGATTGTTCCGGACGGGAACCCCTCACTTTTGCCGCAAGCCAGTGCAAGGTAGGAGTATCGAAGGTAAATGCATCTAGATCAGCGAGATCGTCCAGCAAAGCGTATTTCGCGTCTTCGGTTAGCAGTTCGTAGAGTCTGCCGATCATGACGTGTCCAGCATAACCGCTTCTACAGTATCGCGCCTTTCTGCCAAGGCAGCAGCGACCCGTATCAAATATTTTATATGATCAGCACATAGCTGCGAAGTGCTGAGTCTGAAATCATCGATAATCAACGATAATCAGTCCCCGGATGCTCTTTGATTTTATTAATTAATTGCAAGATTGCGAAATAACGTATTATTTGTAACATTGTTGCAAGTTACTCTTCTTTAGTAGACGACTTGTAATAAGGTTATACTTTTTTTCGTTAATAGCGGTAACGCTATTATGTTATTTGAATAATGGTAATGGGAGATTGCACAACAAAAGTTTGATCCAAATATTAAAAGAGCTTGCAGGGTAGCTGGAAGTTGACGATTCATAGTATTCCGCCATTTGAGAGCGATGAGAAGACTCCAAAAGGAAGGAAAACAGCTTTTTCATGAACTCTCTACAGATTGCAAACCGGGTTACCAGGTCATTGCTTGCCAGGCATAAAAGAAAAATTTTTTGTGGCGAATCTAATTTGACAATCCAAAACGCAAAAATTTATGGTCCCGGCCAAACATCGACGTTCACGATAAAACATCTACGATCATAAAGTTCTCTCGCGTATCTGATGGGACCAAGAAAGAGTATTACTATACTCTTACTTACTATAAACTATTACTACCAGAGGATAAACAGTCATAGGAGATCGCTATAGTCAACAATTGTAGCGTCGATCTAAGTTAGGAAGAAAACAGCTCCTTCAAATATAACTGCAATCGACGCAAACTCATTCTGCTTCACGACAACATCAGATCACACTTTGCTGTTGCGACTAAAGAGACGTTCGAGTTAGAGTTAAAAATCTCTAAAGATAATAAGGTGAGAATACTGTTATACGTCACGGTACGTGGTGACGTCCGTCATTTCATTGCTGATCAGCTGGGATGATTTGATCAGCTATGCTATCGAAAAATCAATACTGGTGCTTATTAACTCATCGTCCAGGGAGATCGCTATTTAATTTTAAGGACCGCTATTGATTTTTCGATAGCGCAGCTCATCAGATCATTCTGCTGACCATCAATCAAGTAACAGGCGTCACCACATACTGTGGCGCAATACGTAACATAAAAAAAGTAAAAAAAGGTGCTAAGTATTATATACACTAACAATAAGCCAAGTATACACGCGCAACACGTATTGTGTTATTTTTAGAAATCTCAAACTTAAATTATTTTTTTCAAGAGATACATGTATACCAAATTTAAATTATTTTTTTCTCAAGTATGTATTTTTCTCAAGTAAATATGTACAATATATGTATGTAATTTTATTTTATATATTTTATATATTTATTTTATATATTTTACACTTATATGGAACTTGAAGTTCAAATAAAACTATTCAATACCGCGCTATAAGTATAATATATCGATACATTCAAGTTAATTTCAATAAATATGTTATATTATTCGATACATTCGAATATTATCTTGACATACCTATTTTAAGAGTATTTTACATTAGACTGTATTTCTAAAGAAATGGTTTATATTTTATTATTGTATGAGTTTTAGATATTTTAATATTAGAGGAATGTTTTGATGACAGACTGACGACGAATAGTGTGATATATGTTTCATATTACACGATGAACATATGAAATAAAATATATTAATAGCTCGCATGCATCACAAATTTATCGTTAGTTTTTGGTGCAGCCGCGCCAAGATATTTTGCATTAAATATTTTTTATTGCATTGTGCAACTAATTTATTATAATAACAAATAAAATAACCATATAACTCAGTGTTCTAGTAAATAATGAAAAAACACTGTTTCCGAAGTACCGGGCTGTGTGTCATTAGGAGTTTTGGGTACATTTATCTTCAGATTGCAAATCGCTCTCATTTGCAGAGTTGATGTTGAGTAGAGTTCTTCATTTGGTGCTACTGTTTTGTTATATCACTTTTTTTGTGGAACAGTTTTGTAGAGTTTTATTTATAGTACTCAACAGAAGAATTTGTTATTAAAGGTATAAGTTTTACTTGTACAAACTTATTACTTGTATAACGGAAATAATGAATTACATTACCTAAAGGTACACGCTCAGGCGCGGTACGATGCACAATACTACAAGCGCAAACATTGTCGCTTATCTTGAATACAGAATTAAGTATACTGTAATCATATATATATATATATTTACAGTGGCGTGCAAAACTTTTGAGCCACACAATTATTATTATATATTTATTTCATAATGAGCTCTAAAAACTTTACACATATATATAAACAAAATGTATTTATTTGTCCTACAATTATATAAACTTTAAAAATTCTTAATAATTTTGAATACTTTATTTTTACACAATGTCTTATTACAAACAGTGTAAAAGTATTGCGCAAAAAGTTTTCTTATGCGTAAGAAAAATATATTATTGAAAAATAATAACAGAAAATGTCAACGTTTTTTTAAACTTAATACTTTGTTGCCATGCCTTTAGAAGCAATCACTGCAGCACAACGGCGAGGCATTGATGCTATTAAATTAGAAATGCGATTTTGAGGTAAATTTTGCCATTGAGTTTGCAAATCTTGCCACAATTTAGTTTTATTGAAGTGTTTCTTATTTCCTATACGTAGTTTGAGTTCTTGCCACAAATGCTCAATAGAATTCAAGTCCAGCGATTGCGAGGGCCAGTTAAGAACTCGCATTTTTTTCACGGTGAAAAATTCTTTTATCAGTTTTGATGAATGTTTGGGATCGTGTCTTGTTGGAAAATCCAACCACGTGGCATGTTTCGAGTTTCATATGATAGTATATGCTGTGTCAATATATCTCGATACATTATAGCGTCCATAGTACCCGTGATCTCAACCAATGGACCAACTCCATTATAAGAAAATGATCTCCAAACCATCACGTTACCTCCACCATGTTTACGGTAGGAATTTGTTATCTTGAGTTATATCTTGTGCCTGTTGGACATCGTATATACCTTCTATCGTCACTTCCGAATAACTGAAACTTTGACTCGTCAGACAAAAGTACTTTTCGCCAATCAACTTCAGTCCAATATTTAAATTTCCTTGCAAAATCTAATCGAGCTTTCTTATTTTTTGCATTAATTAATGGTTTTTTTATATCAGCACGTCTTAAAAGGTCTACTTCCTTTAGACGTCGAGATATTGTACTTCGACTAATATCAGCAAGATTTTCTTCTCGTATTTCTCGAGAAATATCCATGGCAGTTTTTCTAACATCTGCTATCGACTTTCTTTTAATCATTTTATTGACGCGCTTTGTAGTTTAGCAAGGTCTACTGTTTCGTGGTTTA